ACGCGGATGCGCATATACGGGATGTCCGCGAAGTTGGGGTTTTCCTTTTCAGAAACAACTACCCTTGAAATAAACAAAGGTAATGTGTAGTGTGAAACGACAACGACCCGAGTAAATAAAAAAATATTGGTGAAATTACTCTCTCTCCAGTTGACCAGAAGGGCTAAGTACGTCTCTGCCAGAAATCATACCGCTCCAACAGAAAATGAAATCAGCTGATGCGCTACCGAGCAGACGTAGGCTAACAAGGAAGGTAAAATGTTGCGTAAATAGTCTAGGTATTGCATCCCGTCCAATCGTTTGGGAGAATAAATTGTCCAATGAGCATACCGTTCACCATGCCAGCCCTATCATTCACCGAAAATGTTTGTTGAAAATGTGCCCGACGCGTGAACATAGATTCGTCTGTCACGAATATGCACTTCAAAGAGTCCGGATTATTGTCATGTTGATGCCAACAACTACTCACAAACCGCACTCTTGCTGGAAAATCGTCAGGTTGAAGGGCTTGTACACGTTAGACGTGAAACGGATACAGCCCCTCTTCACGCAGCGCTTGCCACACTTTAGTTTTTGATACTTGCATTCTCTAGCCACTCTCTAGTGCGTTGTTTTTTATTGAAACGCAATCGATTATACCGGTTCGTTTACCTCTACGCGCGTGACCGTGACCGTCGGTTGCAGGTTGCATACCGACCTGACACACTTGACCCCGACCACCCAGTTCTGTCGTCGGGTTGTTCTAGTACCAGTCGGGGATGTCGCGGCTACAGGACGGTTTTCAGATACTTTTGATGTTGCAGCAACCGCGGGTTCTCCTAGTCTCCTAGTCAAGGTTCCAACTAGCGGGTGCCAACTGGACCTTGGTCTAGGGTACCTGGTTCTGCGGTTTGCGATGCCTCTCGTCCGGATCGTAGTTCATGAGGAATCGTAGCTGCTCGTTAGGGTGGTCCTGAGCTTTCTGGAAGGTCTTCTCCGCTTTTTTCCTCATGTACTCGTGAATGGTGTCCCAATGGCAGGTCTCTACGCAAGGTTGAGTTTCTTACGTAGGATGGATCGGTTGGTGGCGATCCGGAGTAGCTTCATCTCTAGAGCAGCGTACCCCCAGACCGCGGAGGCGTAAGCGAGCTGAGGTCTGGCGATGGCCTTGATCAGCCGTAGCTTGGTCGCTAGCGGCATCCGGCTGTGTCTACCCAGTATTGGGTAGAGTGAGCCATGGCTGCTCTGGTCTTTGCGATGACGCTTCTATGTGTGGTCTTTCAGGTGAGGGACTTGTCAAATACGATCCCAGATATTTGACCTTGTCGCTCCACTGGATATCTTCGTCGATGATGGATGCTTCGAGAGGGCTTGCAATCCTTCTTCGTTGGATGAAGATTGCCTGCGTCTTCTGGACGTTGAACGGATTTTCCATTTCACGCAACAGTCCAGTTCATCCTGTGTCTGCTACGGATAATCTCGGGTCGTCGATGTTGCTTAGCGGCGATAGCAATGTCATCTGCTATAGGGCCAGCATTGTGTGAGCTGTCTTCGGTACGTCATGTATAGATGTTGTAGAGCAGGGGGACTGAGGCTGACTCCTGGCGCACGCCTGCTACCAGCTGTCGTGTGTTGAATGGCATGTACCAATCCTCACCGCGAACCGTCTTTGTGTTAGATAGCTCTGGATCAGTGGCACATGTTGCATCGGCGGTCCTGGCTGCTCTAGGACTCGTTCTTGGTGGCGGCAGCTGGCATCTTTGGCTGCCTTGGCGTCTCGTCTTCGGAGGAGGAAATTCGCACCCGCTTTTTTTTTTCCGTCTGGTGGCGACACTGAAATCGTGTCGTCGTGCTTGCTGTCTCTGTCGTGGTCCTATCCTCTTCGTCCGTTGGGTGTCCTCTTCTTGAGAGTCCATCTCGTCCGACGTAGCCTGGTGGTCCTCGCCTCTCTTCTTCGGTCTTCTTTGCGGCCTTCTTCGTGGCCCTGCGGAGCTTCCCGTTCAGGTCCTCGATCTCCTGTTGTGCTTGCAAGAAGGCTTCTTGCAGGTTTCGCATCTGCTCTGCCAGCATGGCGACAGCATCTTTCTTCTCTTTCAGCTGGTTAGCCAGCTTCTCAATTTCGCCATCGTAAATGACAAACAAACCAATCTATCGCAATAAGATTGCTCAATATGTCCGGGTGTGTCGCAGTCGTGCAAGTATACACTCGCAACGGCTGCTAGCTCGGAACTGATGTTGCGCGCACACACACCACAACCCTCCTACCCTGTGCGGTCCCTCCACCACCCCTGTTCCAGGCAACCTCATACCCTTGAGGAGTGGGGGGAAGAGCAATGTGTGCGACGAGAGAGAGGGGGGGGGGAGAGGGAGAGTTAACGTGATTGTCGTTATAGACACTAGCGGCATTGTATGTAAAATTGCGTTGGAATAAAGTTCTATCATTCCGACAGTACCTCTAGAAAGTAACTATCCTCCAAGGTATCTCCATATGTCGAGCTCCACAACCCATCGATGCTAGGTA